CTGTTGTTCAGTCATTTGGTCATCCCTCACTAACCTCCCTGCCAGCCTGGTCATAGGCAGCCATCTTGTGAGGGTGTGAGGGTTAATGTGCATATTACCTCTTTATTATATAGGATTCTCACAGAAAAATGGCAGTTTGTACATCATCTTCAGAACTGTTTAACCAAAATGAAGGGTTCTTTTTATTGGGGAGGGGGGCTTCCTTTACCTCTCCTTCAGTTATTATGCTACAGAAATTTTATTAAGTAACATCTAAAAATATTTATTATACTCTATGAAATATCAAATATCTCACTAGAAGAGCCATATTAGAACAAAGAATTGAAAATGGATATGCAGTCAACATTTTAAATTTTTCTGAATGATAGTCTAGGTTCTAAGTGTATGTTGGGTACTTAGGAAGAGAGTAGGAAAAGGTAACTTAAACTCACTTTAGGACACCTGGGAGTAAGTGACATATCTTTCTCCCCTTCACTCTCTTAACAATTTAAGGTAGTAAGTACAACTTAATTATGATTTAAACTGACTCTATTAACAAAAAGTACACACACCGACAACTATACATGTGCACGCACACACACACAATACACACACACACACACACACACACCTTGAGGACAGTAGTCACGATCAATAGGAATAGATCAATACAATTAAAACACAAGAACTTTGAAATAAAGACATTTGACTGATGTTATGGAGGCTGGAGGAAAAGTTGTAGTTTTATTGAGAATAGAAATAATCATGTACCATATTACATATTATCTCAAACTTTGTGTACTAATAATATCATTTAAAAGTGTTGATGACTAAATGGATTTAGAAAATATCTGGGGCAACCCTGTCCAATAGAAATATAATGAGAGTCACAAATGTAATGCTACGTTTTCTACAAACCACTTTAGAAAACATAAAGAATAGTTGAATTACTGTAAATAATAGAATGTATTTAACTCAGTATATTGTAAATGTTTTCATTTTACAATGTAAGCAATACAAACATCATTGTCATATCTTACATTTAATTTTTCATACTAAGTCTTTTTAAAATTGTTTAACATATTAAGTCTTTGAAATCCATGTATATTTTACACTCATAGAGCATCTCAGCTAGACTAACCACATTTAATATACTCAATAAATAGCCACATGAGGCTAATGGCCAATATCTAGACTGAGCAGGCCTAGGGTGTGACAGGTATGAGAGTATCTTTCCCTCATTCTTCATTCTCTTTCAGCCACCTGGGTTGGAGGAGGTTACATCAATGGGACAGCTGAAGCAGTGTATGTACCAGATTACGGTCTAGCTTGGGCTCAGGCACCAATTGGATATTCTCTCAGTCTGATTTTAGGTAAGTGAAAGTTCAAACCTCAGTGACCCACTCAGTAAAGAACAAGAATATAAATAACAAGTGAAATAAGTCAAACAATGTAAATAACTATTGTGGGAAAATATTACCAGGAATCTTTAACTACTACAGAAATTGGTAGCACATGCTTAGATTATTCGACTTCTTGATTATGGAATACATAAAAAAATCCCTTGATATTATAGCTATCAGAACAGTGATTTCTTTAACATAATGATGTTTCTTTTTTCTTTCAAAAATAGCCTGGATATATAATTTAAAATGAATCAATTTGAATTGTACCTGAATTTCTTTGTGTAAATCACACTAATAAAAGGTCAAGAATATTATGTAACAGAGTATTCCTAACTTATTTTTGCACCTAAAATACTTTAATTAAATATTGGGCTTAATCAAAATATCTGAACACTTGCTGTCCTCAGCGATGCATCAAGGCATTTTAGTGGGTGCTGTGCTGGTCCATGTTTTCTAATCCATATGCCTCAGATACATGACTCAATTGTCCTTTGGATACATACAATAATAAAGGTATGAAGAAACTTGCCTTTGGTTGCTGAATATTGCTTGGTTCTATATTTATATTTTAGACTGGTTCCTTAATACTTATGTGTCCTTAAAAATTCATTTCCCTTGAGAAATTGTAGCATAATAAAAGGTTGGCAAAGACTATTACATTAAGAATTAGTAATTTTGTCATAAACACTTTTTTCATTCCTTTTAGGTGGTCTGTTTTTTGCAAAACCTATGCGATCCAGGGGCTATGTGACCATGTTAGACCCATTTCAGCAGATCTATGGCAAACGCATGGGCGGCCTCCTATTTATTCCTGCACTAATGGGAGAAATGTTCTGGGCAGCAGCCATCTTCTCCGCCTTAGGTAAGAACAAATGAAACATCGCTCTACTGGATTCTCTGGTTGATTCACCATCAGATACATAACTTTACTTTCTTCAGCCACAGGTCGGGCCTCCCCTGCCTCCTCCTGGATTAATGCAACCATCTCCCTGCTTACAGTTCTATCGTCTCCTGTAGTGTCCTCATGGTGGCCAGACTCATCCTTCTAAAATACAAATGTGACTATATCTCTTTCCTGATAAAACAAACAAACAAACAAACAAAAAAACAAAAAAAACACACACAAAACTTTGTAACCAGGTCCATAAGCTTTATATGACTTAGCCTCTGACTTTCTCCTCTCATCATTCCCCTCTCCTCCTTTCTTCTTTCATAACTACAGTCCTCTCTTGCCTCTGACACTGTGCAAGTCCAGGTGCCCTCTGCCTTGGACTCCTCTCTCCTCTTTCCTTTCTCACATCTGCCTCACCAACCAAAAAGTGTCCTCCAGATCTTCTCAGAGATACCACTTCCTCAGATAAGTCATCCTAAACTTGCTGAATGCTTTTCCTATGGGCTTCCTTAGACACACAAAAAATTTATTTTCAATAGACTTATCACTTCGTGTGATTATGGCCTGTTTATTTCATGCTCAATTTTCTATCTCATAAAAAGAATTATAAATTTCTTAAAAGCTGGATTTATGTTTTGTTAACAGTTGTAATCCTATTACAAATGAATGAATAAACCATCTATGGAGATGATATGTAGATAGATAGATGATAGATAGATAGATATTTGATTTGTCCTTTAGTTACTTATTTCTTTTTTAATTCAATTTATTAGAGTGTCATTGGTTATTAAAATTACATAGGTTTTAGGTATATAATTCTGTGAACATCATCTGTATTTTGTCTCCTTCCATCACCATTTATCCTCCCTTTACCTTCTTCTAACTCCCCCACTACTCTTCCCTCTGGCAATCAACATACTGTTGTCTGTGTCCATGGGTCTTTCTTCTTTTTTTTTGCTTAATTCCTTCACTCTTCTCATCTACCCCAAACCTCTTCCATTCTAACATCTGTCAGTACATTCTCTATATCCATGAGTCTGTCTCTACTTTTTTTACTAGTTTATTTTGTTCATTAGATTTCACATATAAGTAAAATCATATGGTACTTGTCTTTCTCTGACTGGCTTATTTCACTTAGCATAAAACCCTCCAGGCCCATCCATGCTGTCACAAAAGGTAACATTTTCTTATTTACAGTTGAGTGAGTAGCATTCCATTGTGTAAATGTACCACATTTTTATACAGTCATCTACTGATGGGCACTTAGACTGCTTCCAAATCTTAGCTATTATAAGTAACACTGCAATGAACATGGGCGTTCATATATTGTTTTGAATTAGTGTTTCAGGTTTCTTTAGATATATTCCAAGAAGCTGAATAACTGGGTAATAAGGCAGTTCCATTTATAATTTTTTGAGGTAACTCCATCCTGCTTTCCACAGTGGCTGCATTAATCTGCATTCCCACCAAGAGTGCACGGTTTCTCTTTATTCACATCCTTGTCAATAATTCTTGTTTGTTGATTTATTCATGATAGCCATTCTGAAAAGTGTGAGGTAATATCACATTGTGGTTTTAATTTGCATTTCTCTGATGATTAATGAAGATGGACATTTTTTCATATGTCTATTGACCATATTTATGTCCTCTGAAGAAGTGTCTATTCAGATCCTTTACCTAATTTCTTAATTAGATTGTATTTTGGTGTTGAGTTTTATAAGTTTTATAAGTTACTTAAAAATTTTGGATACTAACTCCTTATTAGAAGTATTGGCAAATGGGTTTGTCATATATGGCCTTTTTTATGTTGAGGTATGTTCCCTCTATTCCCGCTTTGCCAAGAGTTTTTATCATAAACGGATGCTGGATTTTATCAAATGTTTTTTCTGCATCTGTTGATATAATCAAATGATTTTTATCCTTCATTTTATTTATGAGCTGTATCACATTTATTAATTTGTGGATATTGTACCAACCTTGCATCCCTGAAATAAGGCTCACTTGTTCATGTTGTACAACCTTTTTAATGTGTTGCTGGATTGGGTTTGCTAATATTTTATTGAGGATTTTAGCATCTATGTTCATCAGGGATATTGGCCTATAATTTTCTTTCTTTGTAGTGTCTTTATCTAGTTTTAGAATTAGGATAATGCTGGTCTCATAAAATGAACTTGGGAATTTTTCCTTCTCTTAAAATTTTGGAATAGTTTGAGAAACATAGGTGTTAGTTCTTCTCTGAATGTTCGGTAAAATTAACCTGTGAAGCCATCCAGCCCAAGACTTTTGTTTGTTGCAAGTTTTTTTGTTTTGTTTTGTTTTTGTTTGCTTGCTTTTTTACTGCTTCAATTTCACTAATTGTGATCTGTCAATTCAGATTCTCTGATTCTTCCTGATTCTGTTTTGAAAGATTGTATGTTTCTAGGATTTTTGTCTATTTCATCCACATTGTTAGCATATAGTTGTTCATAATATTTTCTTACAACCCTTTGTATTTCTTTGGTGTCAGTTGTTATTTCTACTCTGTCTTTTTTTTTCTTGATGAGTCTTCTTAAAGTTTTGTCAATCTTCTTTATATTTTCAAAGAACCAACTCTTGGTTTCATTGGGGTTATTTGTGTGTGTGTGTGTGTGTGTGTGTGTGTGTGTGTGTGTGTGTGTTTTACTCTATTTCACTTATTTCTGTTCTGATGTTTACTAACTTTTGACTTTGTTTGTTGTTCTTTTATAAATTTCTTTAAGTGTGAAGTTAGTTTTGTTGTTGTTGTTTTCTTGAGATTTTTCTTGTTTCTTGAGGTTGGTCTGTAATGCTATGAATTTCCCTCTTAGGACTACTTTCCCTGTGTCCCATATATTTTGGGTTGCTGTGTTCTCATTTTCATATACTTAAAATTATTTTTTGATTTCTTCCTTGATCTCATTGTTAACCCATTCATTGTTTAATAACATGTTATTTAGCCTTGATGTGTTTGTGTATTTTTCAGGGTTTTGTTTTTCCTTGGGATTGGTGTCTAGTTTTATATTTTCTGTGTTCTTTAATTTTAAGTGATAGCCTTGCTGGGTAAAATAGCCTTGGTTGTAGGTCTTGCTTTTTATCACTTTGAATATTACATGCCTTCCCTTCTGGCCTGAAGTATTTGTGTTGAGAAATCAGCTGACAGTCTTATGGAGCTCTGTTGTAGGAGCTCCCATTACTGCTTTTCTCTTGCTGCTGTTATGATTCTGTATTTGTCTTCAATATTTGCCATTTTAATTATGATGTGTCTTGGTATGGGTCTTTTTGGATTCATCTTGTTTGGTACTCTCTGTGCTTCCTGCACTTGTGTGTCTTTTTTCTTCACTAGGTTAGGAAAGTTTTTGGTTGTTATTTCTTCAAATACATTCTCTATCCCTTGCTCTCGCTCTCTCCTTATGGAACCTCTATAATGAGAATGTTGTCATGCTTTATGTTGTCCCAAAGTTCCCTTAAATATCCTCACTCTTCCTAATATTTTTCTGTTCTGATTTTGTGGGGTTTTTTCTACTTTGTTTTCCAAATTCCTGATTTGATTCTTTGCTTCATCCAACCTATTTTTTTATTTCTTCCAGTGTATTCTTTTTTTAATGTTTTTTATTGATTTTAGAGAGGAATAAGGGAGAGGGAGAGTGAAAGGAATATCAGTGAGGGAGAGAGAAATATCAATTTGCTACCTCCTGCACACACCCCACTGGGAACAAGCATACAACCCATGCACGTATCCTGACCAGGAATTGAAACAGCTATATTTTGGCTCATGGGATGACACTCAACCAACTGAGCAACACCAGCCAGGGTTCCAGTGTATTCTTGATATCAGATATGGTATTCTTCATTTTTGACTGGTTCCTTTTCATGGTTTCTATGCCCCATTTCATGCTGTGTAGTTCTCACTAAATTCATTGAACATTCTAATAACCATTAATTTTAACTATTTATCTGATACATTTCTTGCCTCCAAATGATTTGGCTCTTTTTCTGGGGTGTTCTCCTGTCCTTTCATTTGGGGCCTGTTTATTTGTCTCCCAAATTTGGCTGCCTCTTTATATTAGTTTCTATATATTAGATAGATCTGATATGACTCCCAGTTTTTTGTGGGGTGACCTTATATAGTAGGTGTCCTATGTATCCCACTGGTGCAGTCTCCTTGATCACTTGAGCTGGGTGCTCTAGAAATGTCACTTGTGTTGGTTATATGGTCCCTCTTGTTTACTTGAGTCTTGATTGCTATTGCCCTGTTTGTGAATGTGATTGAACCTTAGGGTGACTGACTGTGAGGCTCAACACCAACCATAGCATGTGAGCTGCTGTGCAGGTGCTGACTGCATGAAGCAGAATTTGCCTCAGCAGGGTTTAGTGCCCGCTGAGATTGCCCTTTGGATATTGTGAAGTTTACTGGGCCTTGCTCTGATGTTGTCTAAAGCTGGTAGCTGGGTGTGTTGCTTCTGGGCCGCTTGGGATGGACTCAAGCAGGACAATATCAGTCTGTGCCTGACTCTTGGTAGCCTGCTTGGAGCTACAAGTGACCCATAATTGTGGCTGCATCTGCTGGGCTTGTGTGCATGCAGGAAGGACCAAGATAAGCACCAAAGCCAGCTTGTACCAACATCCAGTTCAGGGAAATGTCAACAAAAGTCCCAAGGCACCCCGATGAGATCTGCCTTCTGCTGCTTCTGCCTACCAGCTGCCTGTTAAGTTCAGTTACTGAAAGAACCTCTTGTAGAGTGGGGAGAAGGTCTAGTGCAGTGGTCGGCAAACTCATTAGTCAACAGAGCCAAATATCAACAGTACAACGATTGAAATTTGAGAGCCAAATTTTTTAAACTTAAACTATATAGGTAGGTACATTGTTATTAACTTAATTAGGGTACTCCTAAGGCTTAGGAAGAGCCACACTCAAGGGGCCAAAGATCCGCATGTGGCTCACGAGCCTCAGTTTGCCGACCACTGGTCTAGTG